GTTAATGTCCTCATTTTTTTTCTAGTTTGACAGTGATAAAAAATCAGCTACTAGGAACAAGTTGTTCAAACAAAAATGGCGTCATACGAGTTTGAAGCTGAACTTTTATAGCTGACAATTTATTTATTTTAATATACACCCTGCACGGTCTCCCACAGAAGAGATACGAAAATCTTACTGAAGAAAATTTTGCTCCAGACCTGTCACACCAAATTGTTCATGGTAGATCAAACTGTGAAATCTAAGACTTCAGAAATCGGGTTTCGTTTTGTATTCACCCAAAAATTATCATCTCACACCTCTTTCATTTCCCCTTTTCCCATAGCTTTTGTTCATACAAAAGAGAGCTCTTGAACTATTTAAATGCTAATTATCTGAGAGCGTCCGCCCCAATTTCTCTTCATTCGACGACGCCTTCAAACAATGGCGTGACATACAACATATTGCTCCTCCGACATTGCACATCATCAACCACTTCAGATTCTGTGGTACCTCGAAATTGGTTTTTAGAAGATTTAAGGAAGACGACGTTTCTAGAAAGCAAGTGAAATGGAGGGAATTTAATGGAACTAGAAAAATGATCTGTTAGTGAGGGATCATCGGGGAAATATGAATATTGTTTGCACAGTGCTTCATTCTCCAGTTACAGTTGTTCTTCACCCACTCAATTATATTAAGGAGACACTTCTGATTATGTTCCTATCAATGACTCAACTCTTATCAGACAGTCGTTTCCGATTTTGTAAGTCTGCCACTTGGCGCCAATCTGTTTTTGTTGAGGTGTGAGTTTTTTTGTATTCAACGACTGTGTAAATGTGCATTTTTTAAAACCAAAAAAAGATAGTAGTGTGATCACCGGAAACGTGATGAATAATTGGTTTGAATATTGTCACACCACGAACTGATAACCGATTTTTTAATACATTCAGAGAAAAAGACCATACGGGGGTGGTTAAAAAAGGAAACAAAGTTCATGATGTCTGGAAATTTTTCAGCGGAAAGTGTTGAATCAAAGTTTTTGGATTTTATGATAAAAGTCGGTCATCGTGAATTGGAAAGTGCTTTCAACCCAGTTTTCTTGGCTTCTGTAAAAGACATCAATAAAGGTCAACTGACCAAATATTTATGAGATAATCAAAATAATGTTGCCAGTTGATGCCACCCAATACTTGCTCTTTGAGCCCATATACCTGAAACAGATATCAAAAAGCGGTCACTTGACAAAATGTTTTGGATACCAGCCTGTTTGCCGCGCCTCTGGCGCTTCAAACAGTTGGCTGGAGCGCCTTCGGCGCGACTTAAAGGTGGTGTGCGGTGAAAAATTTTATTGCTTTATTTTGTGCAGAAATCCATGTAGATTCACATAAAAATAAAGAAAAAATTCAAAAAAATTCCTTCATTGAGAAAAACGGCATCGAAAAGTCAAAGTTGTATCTGGTGGCCTAGCGGCCAGGTGTGAGTTTTCTAGGTCAACTGCCGGTAAAAGCGCGTGAAACTTGAATTTTTATTGATTTTCTGTGTTTTCTCTGATGTTTTTTAAAGATTTCAAAAATTTTTT